CATTTTCTTGCATTTGTTATGGTTTCTCTTTGCGTTAAAATATATCTTCGAGCTTAGATATATTTATTAGTTCCCTGAAGTTTCAGTTTGAGTTATATATTACATAGGTTGTAGATTCAGCATACAAGAGCCAATATTTGAGAGTTACTTTGGTTTAAGTTTCCAGGTTCAAAACATGTTTAATTTTGTGCAACTCAAGGCAAGAGATGAATTGCTCGACAAATTCAAAGCTCGTTTACAAGCTGCATCTAATTGGTCAGCGATTGTACAATAATTAATTATAATCATATCAATTTTGTCATGGAATTGAAAAAGAAATTAGATATAAAGGTGATTAGCATATAGAGTATATTTCATGTTCTCTATTTTCTTCTTGTTTTTTCTTATTTGAAATGAAATATAATTGCAGACATTAGTTTATTACTTGTAACACATGAATAAGAAAAACTGTAAAAGAGCAATAGTTCTAGTGCAACTGCTCACCATATATTCATGTTTTGATCATAGGAGTAAAACATTAGTATAGGCAGAGTAAATTAATATTCAATTTTTTTTAAAAGGAAAAAGAGTAGTAGTGAGAAAAAGGCACTTGAAGCAGAAGCATGAAAAGAAGACAGATAGAGGTGGCATATTTGTCTCCTAAGTCCTAACTTTGAGTGTAAGTATTTTGTATATTACATGGGATATGGGGGAAATGAGTTATGTTTGTGGTTTTTAGTTTTAGTGATTATTATATTTTGAGCATAGGAAACTGAGCAAGTTTCTCAGTGAGATTCAAGAAAGATTGGAGTTGTGGTGGAGAAGAAATGACTTTGAATAATCAAAGTGTACAACTCATAGGATTATGACGTTGAATATATTTATGAAAAGATACATATATATATGTAGTAAATTCTTGTTATGTATGATCATGCTTGTTTATAATACATATGTGAAAGCAATACATCTCTGTCATGTACTGCTGCTGGGTGGTGTCAATTTGGTTGTTTTTGTTTTGACATGAATGAAAGAAAGTACATCTTGTTTATGATGCATTACATTGAAAGAGTTTTAGTATGAACATGGGAGAAAACAGATAGATGCTCTGTAAAGTTAAGGTACTGTAAAGTCTCTTCCTCTTTAAGGTATCAATTTGGTTGAAGTACTGTAACTCTCCTATTCTTTAGTATGTAATTTTTCTCCAGGAACAATAAAAAAATTAGAGTTAATATATGCTTAATTTTCTCTACAAAACTGGATTGCTAGTTTGTTTAGTTAAATTCTCAACTTCTTAAATTTGTGTAGATGGAATTTGCACATCGTAAATGGATGTATGATAGAACTCATCCTAATCGTGCGGGATTGAGGGTGGAATTTATAAACGGGGTTAAGGAATTTATTGCAAAGGCAAAAACTAGAAATGATTTTCTTATAGAAGGCACAATTAGGTGTCCTTGTGCCAAATGCAAGTTTATCAAGTTATTGAAACCAGATAAAGTTGAATTTCATATTTTGAAGAATGGATTTATGGATAATTATTATGTATGGACTGTTCATGGAGAGAATGACGCCAATGTAGCTAGTGTTGATTTTCAGAATGCTTTTGATGGTGTGGATAATCCAGTAGAGAATAATAATGTTGAAAATTCTCGATTCAATGAAATGTTGAGGGATGCTTTTGGGATGTTCCCAGGGGTTCAATCAGAACCAAATGATGAGGCTAAGCGCTTCTATGGAGAGTTAACTGAAGCTAGTTGACCATTATATGAAGGTTCAATGCATTCAAAGTTGTCTGTTGCTATTAGATTGCTAAGTATAAAGTCAGATTATTCAATTTCTCAAGCGGGAATGGATTCTATCATTAAGCTTATGAATGAGCTTAATCCGAGTAAAATTGACTTGCCTAAAGATTTCTACACGACAAAGAAGATGGGTTCTAAGTTAGGGCTTTCATCAGAAAGGATTGACTGTTGTGAAAAAGGTTGCATGTTATTTTATAAAGATGATGCAACTTTAGAAAATTGCAAATTCTGTAATCAAGCTTGTTATAAGGAAGTCACAAATGTCAAAAGGAAGAAGGTTCCGGTGAAGTCAATGCATTACTTACCCCTTATACCTAGGTTAAAGAGGTTATACGCATCAATGAGCTCTGCTCCTCATATGAGATGGCATTACGAACATAAAAGGCCACCTGGTGTTCTATGTCATCCATCAGATGGAGAAGCATGGAAGCATTTTGATAGAGTGTTTCCTGACTTTGCTAGTGAACCTAGAAACATTAGGTTGGGATTATGTAGTGATGGATTCACTCCATTTGCGGTCTCTGCGGCACCATATTCATGTTGGCCTGTATTTGTTATGCCATATAATCTCCCCCCTGAGTTATGTATGACATGTCCATATTTGTTCCTAACTTGCATTATTCCAGGTCCAAACAATCCAAAAAATTTGATTGACATATACATGCAGCCTTTGATCGATGAGTTAAAATTATTGTAGAATCAAGGTGTGGAAACATATGATGTATTCTATAAACAAAACTTCATAATGCGTGCTGCTCTGATGTGGACTATAAATGATTTTCCTGCTTATGGAATGTTGTCTGGGTGGTCAACTGCTGGTAAGTTAGCTTGCCCATGTTGTATGGAAGACACAAAAGCATTCAGATTAAAACATGGAGGTAAGAACTCATGGTTCGATTGTCACTGTCGATTCTTGCCAAAAGATCATGAATTTAGGAGAAATACTAGTGCATTTATGAAGAACCAAACTGATTTTGAAGATCCACCGGCAACTTTATCGCCTGAGGAAATGTGGCATATAGTTAGGGATTTACCTAAGGTAACAGACTCTCCATCATCTAAGATACCTGGTTATGGTGTTACACATAATTGGACAAAACAAAGCATATTTTGGGAGTTACCTTATTGGAAGCATAACCTTCTTCGCCATAATTTGGATGTCATGCATATTGAAAAAAACTTTTTTGACAACATATTCAATACTGTGATGGATATTAATAACAAGACAAAAGATAATTTGAAGGCTAGGATGGACTTAAAAGAATATTGCAGGCGAAGTGAGTTGTACTTGACATACCTTAACAACAAGATTCAGAAGCCTAAGCCAAGTTACACAATCACTTTGGATGAGAAGAGAGAGATTTGTGATTGGGTCAAGAATTTGAAGATGCCTGATGGATATGCTTCAAACTTATCTAGATGTGTTGATATGAAAGAAGGAAAGTTGATGTCTATGAAAAGCCATGATTGTCACATTTTTATGGAATCTTTGATGCCTATAGCATTCAAGTCCTTACATGATAGAATATGGAAACCCATCACAGAAATAAGCCTTTTTTTCAAAGAGTTGTGCTCTAGCACATTGAGGGTGGAGAACCTAAATTACATGGAGAGTAACATTTGCCTAGCTTTAAACAAGTTGGCAAAAATATTTCCTCCTGGCTTTTTCAATGTAATGGAACATCTCCCTATTCATCTTGTGCATGAGGCACGACTTGGAGGTCCTGTTCAAGGTAGATGGATGTATCCTTTTGAGAGGTAAGAACTTTAAATTATTTTTCTTTTTGTTTGAATTTTTTTTAAAAAAATCGTCTAAAAGTCACACTTTACAGGATTATTGGCAAAAGTAAAAAGACCATAAAAAATAGATGGAGAAAAGAGGGAGCGATGCGTGTAGCATATCGTGCCAGAGAAATGTCTAATTTTGATTCATATTATTTTGAAAGTGATGTGCCATGTTTGAGAAATAGACCCAATCGACATGACGATGGAGGAATTATCGATCATTTGGCACCACCCTTTTCCATATTTAATTATCCAGGAAAAGGAGGTCCAAAATATACTCCAAAGCGAAAGTTAACTGAGATGGAGCTAAATTCAGCTACAACGCATGTATTATTGAATTGTCCTGAGGTCCAACCTTATCATAGGTACATATGTATATATTACCTACTTCTAAAAAAAATTCATCATCCCTTTAACTAATTTAAGTTGTTATTTTGTCGGACAGTTATTTTGTTGGTACATATGGGAATGATGTTGTTTATTCTAGGTTTTCAGACTGGTTCAAAGAACATGTAAGTGTTACCTAATACTAATAAGTATTTGCTGATCAATTATATGTATTTTTAGAATTCTAAATTTTCTTTAATTCAATATAGGTTCATAATCCAGTTAATGTCGTGGATGTCGTAAATGTCCAATTTTTACGTGATATTTCTTGGGGACCTGATCATAGAGTTAGAATAATGTCTAAGTACTTCATCAATGGGTACAAATTTCATACAGAAGAATGGTCCAAAGGTAAGAAAACCAATAATAGTGGGGTGTGGGTGAAAGGTGAGGGGGATATTAATTATTATGGTGTGCTTCAAGAGATTATAGAACTCGAGTATATTGTTGGTTGGCCAAAGAAAAAGCTAGTGATCTTTCGGTGCAAGTGGTATGATCCTGATTCTAGTGGTACAAAGGTGCATCCTCAATACAAAATAATTGAAATTAATCACACGAGGCAATATCGTTTCTATGATCTATTTATCATTGCACAAAATGTGAAACAAGTGTATTACGTTCCTTATCCTTTGTGCAAGAATAAATCTTCGTGGCGTGTAGTTATAAAAACAAAGCCCGTGGGAGAGTGGAGGTTGAGGATGCATTGGATGTAGCGTATCAAAATGATATATCAAGCGTTGAAGCAATGGTGGATGACGAATTAGCAGGTGAATTGCAGCATAGTGAAGGCATCTATGAAGAATTTGATGCTACCATCCTTCAATCAGATTTGAATAATTATGGGGAAGGAACATCCAGAGCTAACGAGGAGGAATCCCAAACTGATGAATATGAAACAAGTGATGAGGAATTACCTGAAGAAAATGAAATAAGTGATGAGGAAGAATTTGATAGTGATAATGAATCTACTGAAGAAGATTGACTTGTTTGATTTTTTTTTTCTGATTGAGCATTCCTATATTGGAAGTGCTTCTGTTTTATCATGATATGGCTGTGTAAGCTTTAGATTTTTTCTTCTTGTGGTTATAACACTATGTTCATTTAAGGTCATGATTGTCAGTTTCTTGGCTATTCTTGTTGGACTCATTATGCAGCCTTGTCTAGTTTATTGTGACAAAAAGAAATGGTTAAGTTTCTCTATTAGCTCTGATCTTGTGGAACTACAGACCAATTATCATCAGGTTGTTGAGGCTTAAAGTGATTAGACTCATTTTAGCTTAAGAATGATTTGTGCTAATCTCTATTGCATTAGACTCATTTTAGCTTCCTTATAGTTGAACATTAAAACTGAAAAACTTGATCCCTTCATTCTGCTTTAGTGAGAAAGTGTTGTGTTAAACAACAGGTCTGGCTCTGTCTATCAAACTAAATCAGTAGTATCTGTTTTCTTTGGGCGAGTAATAATTTATTTTGGAGAAACAAGTAGTTGTTAAGGCATAAGCTTCACAGGTAAACTTTCTTTTGCTGTTAAAGCATAAGCTTATCCTGATTCTTGTCTACATTTGACTTGCAAAATTTGTTCATTAGTTAGTGTTTAGACTTCACTTCCAAGTTGAAACATTGTGCATACTAAAGTTGTGTGATATGGTTGTTTACAGTCTGATAAAATTTGTACTTTGTTAGAAGTTAGGACTTAACAATGTTTAGCACCTCTCTATCTTATAACAACAACAACATACTCAGTGAAATCTCACAAGTTGTACTTTAAATATCACAGTTTTACTTTCACAATTTGTTATCAAAGCACTTTCATATTTTTCTTGCTTTATTCCAGTGTATCATTGTGCATATTTTAAGTAGCTTTTTAGGCAATGAAGAAGACATCTGGAAAGCGTCGAAAGCATACAAATAAGAGGAAATAGCACGATTCTCAACCAGCTTCACTGCCACCTACAAGTCACTCCAGGCAGCCAGATGTAGGTCCTCTTAAGGAGAATTCATTGCCACCACCCATTCCTCCTCAATCAACTTCACTGCCATCTGTCGCTCCTACTCAACAACATTCACGACCATCTGCTATTACTCATATGTCGACATCATTACCCCCTAGTTTTCCTCCTCTGTCGACCTCATTACCATCTTCATTTTTTAGTGTACCACCATGTGGGCCTATCCAAAATAACTCCACAGCTTCTCATGGCAAGAGTACAAGTCTTCCTAATAATATTGTTCCCACACCTCGTATAAATTCTTCTTCGAGCTGTCATATCAGTCAAAAAGGCAGCTCCTCATCTCTGCATCCATCATCAACTCAAGCTGTATCTCCAGCATCATCGACACCTAGTATATCTAGGTCAAATATTGGAGGCCCTGTACCAGCATCACCATCTGTGATCAGTAGTAGTACTACTACACCTGCTTGTGCAAAGACTCAATATGCTGGAGATATCAGAGAATATGATGCTTTTCATAGGCTAATTATCACCCCCGATGAGGATGGGTAAGTTATCCTTATGTTATTTTTATGTTATTTTTAATTTGGTGAATGTACTTCTTACATGAATTAAGTTTAATGCAGGTTTGCGCCATCTTATCTTGGCTCGCGCATGGTTGCAGAATCTATTACACTATTCTTCGATGATGCTTGGGGTAGATGGAAAGAATTTCCCTACAATATCAGAGAACAAATATGGAATCAATTTAAGGTACAAATAAAACTTATTCTTATGTCAGTTATCAAATATTGAATTTTGAATGTAATGACATTTTTTTATGGTGCAGACGAAGTGTGTATGGCAGCCATGTTATGAGAATAAAATAAATTCCATTTTTGAGAAGAATGCTAGTATACGAGTTACTGAAATGTTGTTTGTAGCTCGAAAAAATAATGAGAAGCCTAGTTGGCTACGAGCAGATATATGGGTTAAATTTTTAGAGAAATGGAACACTCCTGAATTTAAGGTGAAGTGTGAGCGAGCAAAGGCAGCTCGGGCCTCTGTAAAGGGTGGCTCTTTACACACCGGAGGTTCTATGAGTTACGCAGCCCATAAACGAAAAATGGTAATTTTTAATTGAATATCCTTACTTTTAACTAAATGTGATTGAACTTCATATAACTTTAATTGCAGACAAAGTTAAATGGTGCAGAAGTGTCTAATTCTGAGGTATTTGAGGAGACGCATAAGAAAAGAAATAAGGATGGTACAAGGGGAGAATGGATAGAGCCACGTGCAGAGGAGACATTTGTAAGTTATTACTTCAATATTATTTCATTTAACATAATTTTAGAATCATAGATCATCAATGGCAATAAATCAGAAAAGAAAAGCTGCAATTCGCCTCATCTCAATGGCAATAATCTAATGTTGCTTATAATTCGATTATCGTATAATTTTGTTGTAGTTACTATTCAGTATGCTTTGTCATGACTTGTGTAGTATTTTGCCTTGTGTAGTTCTGACTACTCAATAAAATATGTAGCTCACAAGTTATTCTAGTTACTGTCAGTATGTTTGTTAACTGCCACTCCAAATGAGCAATATTTACTGCAATTTGGACTAGTATTTACTATATAGTATAGTTGACTAATGTAGTAATTGACAAAAGATATGAAGTAGCTACTCTCATGATCAGTTTAAGGGTATAGTTAAGAAGTGTTGACAAAGACAAGTTCCTTGGTGTCTAATGTATCAACTCATCCAGAAATTGAAGATGTTGAAACTTCAATTTCTTGAAACAAGAATTATGAGTCGATGGGGTTATTATATTATCAGGAAGGCAGTTGTCTTGAAAGACCTTTTGCTGTTTATTGAAAACAGAGTACTCTGGCATGAAACAAGAATTGTTATTCATTTCAACGGGTAAAATAAACTCGTCTGCATCGAAAAATGGATCAAAAAACAATCTTGATCTTGATTTTCATGAGAAAAGGTGTGTTCAACACCATAGTTGAAATAAAAAAGAAGCTGCTGCATAGTCATCATTTCTTTTGGGTTGAATTCTTCAACATTTGGTTCCAATTTTGTAGCAGAAAAGTAGCTAACACTAGCCATTCTTGAATATCCAATAACACACCCTTTACAAGCAAAATACAAATTGAGCTTAAGTAACAAATAGCATAGTACTAGTAGCTTAAATTAGTATAAGAGCATGAAGTGGTTAGTTTAAGAAAGATAGAATTAGTTTAAGGATAAATACCTTAATTGAGATGACAAGTAGAGAGAGATGACAAGCTACGAAAGTTACATACTCAACATTTTGCAAGTTTGTTAGATGAGGTTAATAAGGTTAGAGGGAAGTTGTAGGTGGCACAATAAGCTAAAACAACAGGAGGAATTAGAAATTGATAAGGAATTTAAAAGGGTGAGCTACTTGATAGAAGTGATGTTGATTCAAAGAAGAAAAACAATTCGGTTGAGACTAGGGAATGATAATAATCAATATTTTCATTCCAGTCTCAAATAGAAAAGGCTTCGAAAAACAATTCTCATTTTCAAGATGAGAACATCCAGATGCAGACTTAATCTGAACAGATCGCTACTATATTTGTAAGGCATTTTTCTCAATTATTAGGGGAAAGGGAAGTTGGACAAAAACAAAAGGCTTAAGAAGTGTTCTTAAAATATGGAAATCAGTTATCTATATATCAATAGGTGTAACTACTTGAAACTTTTACTAGAAATGAGGTAATAAAAGGTTGTATTAACAAAAGTGCGGGATGTGATGTTTATAATAGTGGTGTCTTTAGAGATGCTTGAGATGTAGTAAGGTATACACCATGAACATTGAAAGTAGCTTTAGGCCTTTTATTAATTTCATACTACTACAAGGCACCTCTAACGTGGTCGAAAATTTTTAGCACGATTTCAGCCAGATGCTGAAATAATTTGTTCAGAGGCTGCAAGCTGTAACCAGAGAAATGCCTATGAAACTTTTGCTTTATTGAAGGGAAAGATGTTTAATTCTTGTCCTCCTTTGTGATGGTCGTCTCTTTTTACTTAATTGTGTATTATGTCTGAAAGAAATAAGATTATTGATTTATATATACATTTATTTCAGGTTGGATTTCAGAGAGGCTTGGATGAATGGCTTCAGGCACATCCTACTTCAGATGCGGATTCCACATCATCTAGTGATATTACATCAATATGGACAAATGTGGCAGGAGGTGTTAAGAAAGGTAGAGTTTACGGGCTTGGAGCACAACCTTCCTCGTTTCATCCATCATCATTGTTGTCTGGTGCTTCTACTGCTCAATCTTCGGAAGAAATGGAAGCAATGCGAAGATAAATTTCAGAGCTTACAGAACGACTTCAATCATCTGAAGCTAACTTTGCTAAAGTGCAGAAATTCATGGAGAAACATATGGCTGAATCTGATGAAAGTGAAGGGACCGACTCTGATGAAGAGTAGTTTGTTTTATGGTTGTTTTGACATTTTCTATGAGATTTAGACGTGTTTTGAACTATTTACTTCCTTTTTGAATAACAACTTAATACTTATTAGATTTGATTTTGATGATGCTTGAGCTTTTAGACTCAATTGAATTGAATTGAATGTAATTTGAATGTTTAGGAATGTATTTGATGTTCGATTTTATTGTTGAGTTTTTGTGGATGGATGATAGTATTAATTTAGCAGGTGGTCTACCAAAGAAACAACACTTTTCAGTCGTAAAATGTAGTTTTTTCGACTACAATAGTATGCAATATCATATAATTTTTTTTAGAAAATTAAAATTGCCGACTATAGTAATCGGCAGATTACCTAAATAGTAAATAAATTAATCATGTATACCGACTATAGTAGTCGAAAAAGTACTTAAATGATTAACAAATAAATTATATGCCGACCACAGTAGTCGGAATATATATTAATTAATTATTTAATTGTTCAACTATTACGATTACTGTAGTCGGCATTGTTTTAATTATTAAATGATTATTTTAATAGTTTCCGACTATAGTAGTCGGCCATTTGGGTACTTTATGGTCGATTCTTGTTTTATAATTTCCGACTACTGTAGTCGGAAAATGTCGACTACCGTAGTCGGTAAAGAATTTCCGACCTTCAAGATACCGACTACTATAAAGTAGTCGGAAGGTCATCGGCAAACCCCATTTTGCGACTACATTCCGACTAATTTTGTAATCGGTTAACAACGAATTTCTAGTAGTGATTCTTCAATCTCAAGCAATCTACAAAGTATTTCATTAAATCCTATAAGATTACATCTAAAATCCTCAATTTCTCCTTTCATGGCATAAAATCCAATTTCATCAATTCTAGGGTAGAAACAACGGTTAGGCATGGGTACATGTAAATTTATTCTATAATCATTCAATTCAATCATAAACAGTCATAATCCACTCAATTGGATCATAACCCATAACATTAAAAGAAACTCTAACTAGAATTGGGCAATTTTTCTTCTAAATTGGGGAAATCATGGGGACTCCATGAATGAAAGTATTCCATGGATTAATAAACCATTATACCGTGATTACAAAGCCTAAAAATCTTGGAAGATTGGACACTTGACTTGACCTAGCTTGAACCCTCTTCTTCTTTTTCTTCACTTTTCTAGAGAGAGAATTATTTGAGAGCAACCCAATTCTTTTGGTGAGTTTGAGAGAATGACTTAAATGACTTAATTTATGGGTCTAAAGTACTTATATATGTGGTCTAGTCTAGGGTAAAATGACACCACTAAAGTCTAATTAAATCTTGAAGGATCCTTGTGTCCTCAACTTAGTAGTTCAGTCACCAACCTCGAGACCATGTTGACGGGCCATGGATGGACCTACGGTCCCTCCTGGTCAAACGTGGTTTGGTTCAGAGATCTTGGGGACCTATGACACCCCTAGCCATGGGTTGTGGACTTATCCACGGGGTATGGGTCCAGCCATGGTTCTGCCTTAGACAGTGTCTATGGTGTCTACCTAGGGGGATGATCCACGGGGCGTGGATCAAACCACTGGCCGTGGTTGGTCCTCGTGGATGACACATGTGAGTTCTAAATTCTCTAAGCCTCCCTCTTTTGGATACGACTTGTTACAATTAGAGTCACACATGATAGTTGTTGGATTGAACGACGTGAAATACACCTAGTTATGTTGCCTTGGGAGCTTGTCGCTCCTTTGAGATGTGGTTGGAATGCATTCAATGAAGTTAACTGCTAATTGTTGTTTTTATTTACCTCACTTTGTGGGTTGGACTTGGCTGGTCATGAGTCTGGCAATAGCGTCTTATTGATTTGTCATGGCTTGTTCTTGTAGCCTTGATGATTTTTGCATTGTTGTATTACTTTTGTTGGGCAAGTTTCATAGAGACACTTTTTGGGCATTGGTTGGAAGGTATGTTAAGGCTATTATTTCTCTTATGACATGATCCTAATGGCCTAAGCTTGTTATAGCTGGTGTGTTATCATTATCCTACATGTAGCCTTGTCCTATTGCGTTTTCTATGACCATAAGAGATAATGTCTGTCGCTGACACTCTACTC